AAGAAGGGAGTGTGTGAAAATGGGGACCTACAGCCCTGTGAGCCTTGTGTTAGTGGTTTAAAAAATGCTGAATTGATTTATAAATAGACACTTGGAGGATGATCTGATTACACGTTCTGCATAGAATTGAGAATGGAAATTGAGGTGAATCGTGGAGTTTTTTGAAGATGTTGCAAACAAAATTATAAAGGAGAGCTGACAGCATAGTATACTTGGATGTTCAGAAGGCTTTTGATAAAGTCCCCTGGAGGAAGCAGATTTTAAAGTTAAAGCAGAAGGGATGGGTTATGTATGATCATGGATTAATTGTTTTCTATTAGTTGGAATAAATGGATCATTCTCACATTGCCAGGCTGTGACTAGGGTACCACAAGAATCAATATTTGGGCCCTAGCTGTTTGCAATACATATCACTGATGTGGAGATGGGGACCTAACATAATATTTCTAAATTTGCAGGTAATTTTCAAATCTAAGTGGGCATGTATGTTGAAGATGTAAAGTGGTGTCAGGAGGATTTGGACAAGTTGTGAATAGACCAGAACATGGCAGATAGAACATAATGTGGAAGAATGTGAACTTTCATAGAAACAGAAGTGCAGCGTATTTCTTGAATGTTAGGAGATTGGAAAGTATAAATATTCAAAGGGTTGTAGGTGTCAGTCATAGAGCATTGAAACAGACCCTTTGGTCCAACATGTCCATGTTGACCAAGTTTCCCAATCTAAACTAGTTCCATTTGGCTGTGCTTGGCCCTATCCCTCTAAACCTTTCCTATTCATGTAGCTGTCCAAATGTCTTTTTAAATATAACTGTACCTGCATTTACCACTTCTCTGGCGGTTTATTCCACATATGAACTACCCTCTGACCAAAACTCTTGCCCCTAAGGTCCCTTTTAAATCTTTCTCCCCTCACCTTAAAAATATGCCCTCTCGTTTGAATTCTGCTATCCTAGGGAAAAGATCTTTGCTATTAACCTTATCTATGCCCCTCAGATCTTAAATCTATAAGGTCACCCCGCAACCTCTTACGCTCCAATGAAAGAAATCCCAGCCTGTTCAGCCTCCTGTTAGACTCTCCAGTCCTAGTAACATTCTGGTAAATCTTCTCTGCACACTCCAATTTAATAATCATCTTCCTATAGCAGGGTGACGAGAACTGCACACAGTACTCCAAAAGTGGCCTGACCAACGTTCTATACAACTACCACATGATGTCCCAACTCAGTGGTCTGAGCAATGAAGGGAAGTGTGCTAAGTGCCACCTTTACCATCCTGTCCAACTGTGATGCATCTTTCAAAGAACTGTACCACCTTGTCAATAAATCTCTGAAGGCTAATGTGCAGGTGCAGCATGTTATTAGGAAAGCTCTGTTAGGGTGTATTTCCAGAGGATTTGAGTACAGGAATAGTTTTTTTTGCTCCAATTGTATAGAGGCTTGCTTAGATGGTACCTTGAGAACTGTTTGCAGTAATAGTCTATCTCATCAAATATTGCAATAGAGGGACTGCAGCGAAAGTGCACCAGACTTGTTCCTGGGATGGCAGGACTGTCTGAAGAGAGATTAGGCACATGGGGCCCACATACTGCAGAGTTTTGGAGAATGAGAGGTGATCTCATTGAAATCTGCAAAATACTTAGACAGTGTAGTTACAAGTGCTTTCCCTGGTTGGATAATCTAGAACCAGGAGGCACAATTTAAAGCTAAGTAGAATGCCACTTGCCTCCTAGCTGAGGAGAAATCCTTTGTGTTGTGAACCTTTGGAATTCTCTACCACAGAGGGCTGTGCAAGTTCAGTCTTTGAGTACGTTTAAGTTAGATATTGACAGATTTCTGATCACCAGTGGCATACTGGCTTATTGGGTGGAGTAGATAACCGTTATTGGTGTTGGATCAGCCATGATCGTATTGAAAGGCAGGCCATATGGACTGAATGGCATACTTCTATTCCCATTTATCTAGTGTATTCCATGAGCTTGACATGCCAAAGTACTTCGTAACCAACAAAGTACTCTGGAAATGTAATCATATAATTTAGGAGACAAGGCAGCCACTATGTATGCAGCAATCTCAACTAATATGTCCAGATCAAATCATCGTAACATTCATTCCTTCTTGTAAATATGGGCCAGAACACCGGGTAATCCCTATACCGTTCTTCAGAATAATGCCATTATGGTCTTGCATCCTCACTTGGGAGAATAACAGGGTTTTGTTATTTTAGACTTGGGTATGAAAAGGTGACCATTAGGTGTCAAAAGTGGCCACTAGCAAATTGGTGAAACTGAATTGGAACAATTGTGGAGCCATTGGGAAATCCTCAAAGAATGACGTGTTCATAAAACAGATTTTAATGTCATAAATTTGATCCTTTAATCCAAATTTGGCTGAACATCTGCATATTATACCCAATTGTAGTAACCCCTGTGTTTTGCCTCTGGCAATGAGCAGCTTTTCAAACATGTCAGACACATGCCTAATTGAAATGTATAATAATGTAAGAACTCATGTCACAGGTTCTGTCATACTGGTAGTTAAGTGGTTGTGTACATAAACTTATCAAAACTGAGTCTGGGGACTTTAAGCATCATGTTTGAGTTGCCATGTGAATACCCGACTTACAGACCCCTATGTGGAATTCAATCTGTGTAGAAGAATATAGAACTTGAAACTGTAATTTCCAATTAGTGCAATTTGTAAAGTCATTGGGGTAAAGTATATATTATTCAAAACATTAGGTTCTTTTTTACAGAGAAGCATTAGCTGAAATATGGAAGTATTAGGTTTAGCACTGGCTGGAAGCCAAATTCACTTATTCAGAACCCAAATGTATTTGAAAGCATATCATTCCCCAGGGTACCCTACAAACTGGAATTGAGGTAATGCTTGAGATTTTAAATGTACTTTTTGATTATTCACATTGTCATTAACCTATGGATATTAGTAAAGACTAATGACTGACCTCAATAATGCACTCCCAAATAAACACTTTTATTGCTGGAGGCAAAGTGAAGCATAAAATTGCATACCTTCTGTTTGTTAGAAAATGCAGCTGTTTTGGCAGACCCTAATTTATTGCATTATGAACATGTCCTTAACACAACTGGTGATGTTCAGCGCCATTGCTACAGATAGAATAATAGCATTTGAACCTTGATTGGTAAACCTATCAGTTTTGTAATTTATACCTTTTCCCCTATCCCCCACCTTAACCTATGCTGTGCCACCTGTTCTAAGTGCTGCCAATTTGTCCTGAAGTTTCTTCCTAGATGTACATCTGAAATAATGTTATTGAACAGGAATACTTAGCCTGGTGGCATATTCTGGCCCTGCCCTTCTCTTGCTTACTGACCAACATAATTGGAATAAAGTTTTAAATAAACTGTATTTTCAGGCCCTCCCATAACTTGATTTCTGCTCTTTTAGAACAGGGTTTGTCTTCCCTTCCACTCCAAATGCACTTGTTCAACTGCAATTTTTCAGCATCTCTATTTTAACACTCTTTATCCTGTCATCCATTTTCCTCAAAATGGAGGAACATAACGTGTACTATGTATCTTCCTTTTCCTGTTTCACTTACTCTGCAAATTATCCTTTTTATTTCTCCTTTTATTGCAAAATAGGGTCTTTCTTTTCATCTTCCTTCTCTTCCTGTTCTCCTTTCCTTAGAAAACAGGATTGGGGTTTTTTAACCACCTCTCCCCAACAGCAGGATGTTTTTTGCCCTGTAAAGTGGGGCTTGTCATTTATATTCCCCCTCAATTATATGCTCTTTCCTGTTATAATTCCTATTGCTTCATAATGTGACCCCACACTCTATAACCTTTGTTTTTGCCATTCCCATTTTTTTCTCCTTGACCTTGAAAACCTAAACAAGTGAAGTATCTTCGTTATTCAGTCTTTTATTGTCTGGTTTTGCTCTCCTGAACCTGCCACTTGATCAGTCTGTGTCTCGTTTCTCTTAGCGGGATTCTTACCGGGATAATTTTACTTCCAAGTTTTCGAGTGCCTTACAATAGGGATATCCCTTGCCTTTTTTATAATGGCTATGGATCAGGACTATCAATTTAACTGACTTTGCTTCCCCCACACCCCTTTTATGTATTTGTCCTCTGTCTCTGCCTAGATGTGTTTCTCTTTCTTGTGACTCTCCTCGTTTTATCAGTTGATCTCCATGAAATTTACTCAATGCTCAACCCATTTCCTACTAATTTTAAAATTCTTGTTCTCCATTTTTTTTTTTTCATGGGCTTTCCTTTGTAGCTTAACTTGCTCCCTTATATGAATTTCCTATTCTTATGCTAGCCTGTTCCAATTTCCCACCTTGTCCTTTCCAGCAACACGTTTATACATCAAAACTCTTAGTGTTAGCCTGCTCAGAGTTAGGTTTAGGACTTGGGCCTATTGCAGCTGACTACTTTTGAAACCCAATCTATTGTGTTCATATTTTAAAATTTAACTACAAATGAGTACGTAGCTTTCATCCTTGTGATGCTGAGATTTATTTAACCCTAACAAGGAGAAATGTGTTGCTATGTTTTTTAGTCCTTACACTTTGGTTAAATCAGATTGAAACGTTGGATAGTCATGCTTCTGTAGATTCTGCTATAATATGGTACTTGTGTATAATTCTGAAATTTAAGATCTAATTTGAGATTGTTGGGATCTTTAACCCCAACCATCATTGTGCATTGATGAAACAACATTTTGTGCTGCTAGCTTGGGCTGAAATAGCATTTTTGTGTCGTGAAATCCACTGGAGCTGGATTATTCAAATTAATTTTGATAGGATCATTTATAGTGTGGGGAATGGGAAAGTCCATTGAAGCTGGATTCATATTCTGCTCCCAAAAGTGAAACGATTGTGTGACAATTCACTCCACTACTCTTTCCCAGTATGTAGTTTCTCAGTGCCTTGATTAGATATAAAGTTATTAAGAGAAATAATAATTAGAATTTTTATTAAACAACTGTACTTTAACTTGTTTTTAATTTCAGGCATTTATTAACACAGCTAGGGAGATCTATGAGAAAATACAGGAAGGAGTCTTTGATATCAATAATGAGGTAAGAATTATTTTGCTTAATTTTATATGTAATCTTTTGTCCTCTAGTTTGAATCTAGGTCACTACATACTGTTGTATGTATGATTCCTAATTCAGTAGTAGGTGACTTGGTGTCATTGAAAAGATTTTTTTAATCTGTATTAGTGAGGAAAACTAATCAAGTACCACACAGCTTCACTGTAGAAGTCTTCAAATTTTTCCCTCAAGTCAAAATTGACTTTTTTCTCAAAAGTATGATTCACATATTAAAGCGAGTTCAGCATCATGGGGGGTGGCAAAAGAATATCAAGCAGCCAGCGACAGCGTTTTGTGGATTGACAGGAAGAAATAGCAGTTGTGTGCAGTAGTCTGTTCGGATGTATTTGGTTTTGAATTTCCATAAATGAGGTGGGGGTGGGGGGGAACCCCAAAAGGAATGGTTCTGCTGTCTTTAGTTCTATAAAGAACTACCCAGGCGTCTTGGTATATTATTGGTTCCCCCTTGTGAAATTATTACAACCAGCATGTATTGGTTGATAAGATCCTGTAAAGATGGCTTATAGGTGGATTTTTATCGAAAGGGAAAATGCAAATATTTATACAGATGATGTATTGATTTTGATAATTTTTCTCTGCTTGCTCCCTGCCTCACGGACACCTTTCTCTAAAAGCTGTCATAATACGTCATCTGCATCAGGAAGTAGTTTCATTTTTTAAAAGTCTTGTGCTTAAATTTTTTTGTTGCCCTTGGTTATAGGAGAAACCTTTGTACCTTTTTCCACTCTACCACCAACATGGTCTCTACAGGGCAAGTAATTTAAAAATAACAAATTTCCTTTGATTCTTTTCTTTTATACCTGTTCCGCCGTTCATTCTTTTATACCAGTACAAGTCAGATGATCTGTGATGATTAAAATCTGGGCTGACCTTACTTGTATCCCCTGGCATTCACCTGGGTATGTAAATTGGAAGTTGCTGGTAGCCCCTCATAAATGCTTTCTAATCAACCTGTACAGCGATGTTATACACATCTGGAGCACTGGGACTTGAACTCGGGTCTCCTAGCTCAGTGGTAGGGATGTTGCTTCTGCCCCATTAGAACTTTAAGCTCCTCCTCTAATTTAGTGAATTGTAGTGTACAAATTGATTTTGTAGTTAAACTTGATACATAATCCCCTATGATAAGTCCATTTGGATCACAAAGGTTTGAAAAAAAAATTCAGACTCCTGCCTTAGGGGTGTGCCCAAGTGTGATCCAATTTTGGAAACACCAGTGTATGTGAATACTTGTCTACTGGCCCAGAATCCCAAAGAAGGGACATTAATTTGGGCACAATCCAGTTGAAGTTTTAGTTTTACACTAGAAGTGCATCATGCTTCCAGAGTAATCTCCTGATCCAGCACTAGAGGGTGATCTGACCAAGCAGATACAAAAGGCTAAAGCAGTAGCAATATGAAAATGGTTGGTTCAAGTTAGATATTAGCTTCGGGCGAATGAGATGTTTTGTATATTGAAGAGTAAATGTTTTACCATGAGAGCAGGCTACTGTTCTTAAAGCAGCAACATTGAACAAATTTATTAATTTGATAAAGCTATAAATCTGAGCTGATGACATAAAGCCTTGGTCTGCTTTCTTTGACAGTTAAGTTGTCAATTAGATCCAGGTGTATAATCTGGTCTAACAACTCAATAGTTTCTGCTTTGTGTAGGTAAGATCAGACACATGAGGGAGGGTGTTGACCTAAGTGGTATGTATGGGTATAAATGGGAACATGAATGTTAATTGGACAGAAATGATGCAATTTGAACAATGTGGCCTTTCATTTGAAGAGCATTGCTAAAAGATGGGAAATGGCAGTGCTTCATAGGATTTTTTTTTCTTTCCTTAAGGACATCTTGTCACCTGCATGAGAAATAACTTGTGTGTGGGCAAAAAGCTAGTTATTGTGGGTGCCACTGTCTTCCTCTGAGCAAACTACAGCCATAGCTTTGAATTATCCAGGGCTTGAATCCAATTAGAGTAAGGCAGATAGGTGGTGGGATTGTCTCTGGATTACATTTCTTTTCCTTTTGACAAGATTCTGGATTTGAAGGAAGATGTGAATTTTACATAATCTGCACTTCCATAATCAAACTGGTAACACAAGCTAATTTGTGCTGGATGCAAAACAATTTGACTTTGTTGCTAGTTTGGTATTCCATCTTATTTAGATGATGCTGGATAATTCTTAAGTTTTTGGGTGATGCTCTTTCAGTTCTTAATGAAAGTTGTTCTTGAATCTGTTGTACTTGGTCACATTTAGCTATTTCGAATAAATTTTTGTCTGTTGCTATTTTTAAATCTGAACATCATTCGAACATCAAAATGGGGATTCCATAGTAATATCTTCATCAACCCTCCAGTATCCACAACACTTGACTTTTATTTTACACTTGGTTAATTCCAGTGACAGGAATGTGGTGTCCCTCATTGCATTCAATCTGAAAGATTCTGCTGGCAAACTGATCAGTTTTGTAGTGTCATCAATGTAAAAACTAACTCTGTCGACAAGATAGAAGCTGAATTTATAACTTATGTAGAGTGTGACTGCATGAGTATTAGTTCCCTAGAATCCAAATTAAATAGGTTCGATGCCTATGGGGAGATTACATCACAAGGTTGTTCTACCTATTGTGACCTTGTTGGCTCTTTCTAATTAATAAATAGAATGATCCTTTTGATTTTTAATAACAGTATATTGTTGTAATTCTTGAAGACATTCTATAATTGCCCTTTCTATTTGAACAAAATCAAGGTAACATTGTGACATAGCTTCAGTTGGAAAGTTGCTGCTTCAATAGACTTGATTAGAACAGTTCAAATCGAACTTTCCACTGTGACCTCCTTTTGAGAGTTGAAAATTGTTGCAACTCTTCAGTGAGAATTAAGAGAGCAAAAGTCCATTAGTGGGGATACAGCTGTTATAACTGTCAAAGTTCTGCAGTGGCCAGAGCTGCTACCTCAGAGCTTGCGACCCCATTTGGAGTCCTGACCCTGACCAGCAAAACCTTGGGTTAAAAGAGCACATTACTTGGAGAATTTCAATTTTGAGAGATACTGTATAAATGTATCTGAAAATTTAATTCTAAAATAGTGGCAGCTTACAAAGGAAGTGCATTATTTTGGATCCTAACAAAGGATGTCTATTTTGTAAACGGCATCCTGCAAAAATATTGCAATGTCAGTGACATTCTGTACAATTTTTTAAAGAAACATTTTTTGTGATCCTTCATAAGTCGTCATCTTTGCTAGCTGATGCTTCAGGTTTTTTGTTGTCATCAGCCATTAGCTCTTGTTATTTGTTACCTGGCTAAATGCCAAGGTTGTGCTTCAAATGGGTGAAACTCGTGAGCCATAGGGCATGTATTCAATAAGAGGAGTTAGAGTGAACTTAAACCACATCATCTGGTGTAAATACAAAACTGCTGCCAGAAACCCCAAGGCTAATGGAAAAAATGGACTGACTGCCAAGCATTAGAAAAACCTGAGATTCATCAGTGTGTGTTTCTTCTAAGCAAACTTCATAGTGTTAACCATGACTTTTACAAAAAAAGTAGGTTTAAGGTGTAACCACTTGAACTAGTAAGTGTTGAGATAAGTCTGCGTTTGATGAATGAAAGTCCTCTGTAACGCGTGTGGGTTCTTGGCAAACTGCCATGTCTTTGGGGAGTGTTGAGATTATTGATGACATAGAACACTCGTACTCTTGGCATGTACAGTTGATTCAAACTGGCAAAAGAATTGGTGCCTAGAGAATCGCATTTTTATATTCTGCTCACTTACACAATAGGGAATTATTTATGTGAAGCACCTGTTCAGCATGAGTTATATAATGACTATTGTAGGTTGCTTTTCATTTTTCAAAAGCTGTCTGGTCATTTATTAGGGATATAAAACTGCTCACGCAATTATGTGATTGAGTTATATTTTGTGGATAAGTGAAGCTGGATTATTTATTTTCAGATGACCATAGAGGCTGAATTTTACATTTTGAATATGCAAACTGGCTTTTAATTTTGTTCATATTTTGTTTTTGTTTTATCCATGTACATAATATGTATTTTTGAAATGACTTTAATTATCTAACTGTTTCTCTTAAACTTTAACTCAGGACAATGCAAAATTCCATTGTAGGCAGTTTCTACAATTGAACCTGAACACTGTCATTTTGCAACTTGACCAGGAAGCAACAAGGAAGAACTTGTACTAACTCACCTGGTTAGCAGGAGTCACCAAATGGCAACTTAAGACTTCAATTCCAATTGTCTGCCTGTATTCTGTCATCTTTTTCTCTTCCTGCTGAGTTGTAAAGACAAGTCACACTTGCAATCTTAAACCTGAGACTTTGCTCCATTCTGGATAGTATAATTAAATATCAGTTTACTGATTTGTACAGCCCTTTTTTAGGCTGAAGTCATCTTGAATGTTGAAAATATTAACAGCAAAATCATGTACCCTGTAAATAGTAAAACTGGAAATGGGGCATTGCAAAATAATTGGCATTTTGTGCAAATGGTGGAAGCTAGTGCTCTAATGCAGAATTCAGCAACTGTTAGAAGGTAATTTCGTGGTGTATTGGGCAGAAGGGTTGAATATAGAGCTAAGTGATGTTTCTGTGGAGCTTTGGACCCTATCAGGAGTAGTATTTGTGTAATAATTATAATTTGATGTTTTTCTTATTCACTTGTGGGACATAGGCATCAGTGGCTGGGCCAACATTTATTGCCCATTCCCTATTCGCCATTAAGGCAGTGGTGAGCTGCCGCCTTGAACCACTGCAGTCCACGTGCTATAGCTAGATCCACAATGTTGTTAGGGAAGGAATTGCAGGATTTTTGACCCAGCAACCAGTGAAGGAACAGCGATGTATTTCCAAGTCAGGATGGTGAGTGGCTTGGAGGGAAACTTGCAAGTGGTATTCCCATGTATTTGCTGCCCTTATCCTTCTGGATGGAAGTGGTCACAGGTTTGGAAGATGCTGTCTGAGGATCTTTGAATTTCTGCAGTGCATCTTGTAGATATTAGTACACGCACTGCTGCTACTGGGAATTGGTAGTGGAGGTAGTGAAAGCTTATGAATATGGTACCAATCAAGTGGGCTGTTTTGTCCTAGCTGGGGTCAAGTTGCTTGAGTGTTGAAGCTGTACCAATACAAGCAAATGGGGAGCTTTCCATCACACACCTGATTTTGTGCCTTGTAGATGGTAGGGAGTCAGAAGATGAGTTACTCCCTGCATAAATCCTTGCCACTGACGTGGTCTTGTAACCACTGTTTGTGGCTAGTTCATTTGCATTTATTGCTGCTGCATGAATGAATGCAGCATTATACAATTATTTTGGTGTTCTGGAATCCAAGTTGGCAGAAACATGTTAGGAAATTCTGCTTGTTCTTAGATATGAGTGGTCCAGGTGTCAAATTTGTAAATTGACTGAATTCTAAACTTTAGTTTGATGGAATTTAAGTAGAGAAGTTGGAGAACACAATTCCTGTGAAAAACAAATGTGAAGCAGGTGACCAAATTTAGACTATGCCAAATAGATTTTATTTCTCTTCCTAAATGTTACTGTCCTTAAAATTGTCTTCTATAGTCTGGCACTTATAGCAATAAATGCATTCAGTTCACCACAATTGATTGTAGGGTTAATCTTTAGCATTGCCAGTAATTCAAGTTTCCTTCCACATCTCCCTCTTACTTGCATCATTTTTAGTTTAACAAAATTAGAACAGGCCATGTGGAATAGAAAATATCATAATGAAATTACTTTGCCAGATTGCTTAAGTTTGTTTTTCCTCCCAGATAGCCAACATGTATAATAATACTTTGACTTACCAACTTGGGTCATGTCTAAAACTTTCTAAGATGTATTTATTTTTCTGCTCCAAATGGTTTATTCTGTTTCTCGCAATGTCCCATAACTAATGGCAGAAATAATGTCACCATGGGGAGGCAAATAGTAAAGCTAAATATATTGAGCTTTTAACCAGTTTTTAATGAAACAGAGATAGGTAATACTTGGTTCTCTCTCTACTAAACTCAATCTTTCCTCATTAAATAGTGCCAGCTTATTTTGTAAGTGACAAAATGAGAAGTTAAAACATTCTAAATCAGTGCACAGTGAGAGAACTTGAGGAATTCACTTGTGGTGAATCCATTCAGTGCTATGTTGAAGACCCGGTTGTGATCTAGATCATTTTCTTATTTCCTATGGACTTCTAATTTTGTAATATGTTTAATACAATAGTTTGGTATTTACTAGGATGAAAATGTTAGTGACGTTTAAAAAGCGTTAGACAATTTCTATTTGTTGAATCAATTACATGTATGGTACTTTAACTTGTTTTTTGTCTTTTCAAGGCAAATGGAATCAAGATTGGACCACAGCATGCTGCTACCAATGCATCACATTCAGGCAGCCATGGAGGGCAACAGGCTGGTGGAGGTTGCTGTTGAGATTGCTCATTTATCAATCTGCTTGACTTGGCCCTATTACCTTTTCACCCTCTCCTACACCAGTCCAAAACAGGAAGCCATTAATATATGGTTTATATAATAGGAGATATCTGGGAAGTCCTTCATAAACCTTGTAAAACTTGTCGTACATACTGTTCTCAGCAGAAAGCTAATATTTGCTTAGACAGGATTTGAAAATTGTACTCGTACCTATTTACAGTTTTTTCTGGTTGTTCTTTTGTCTACTTTGCCCTTGACTACAAAATGAATTGTATTAAACACTACAAATCACATCTGAATATTTTAATTGTGGGTTAAAATTCCTATTACTGTTACTTATGTTTCATAACATCAAACTGTAAAAGCTGTCAAATTTCAAATGCTGTGGAGAATCGCTAGAGGACTGTTTTAATTCTGTATTTATCATCCACTTTGTGTATATATAGTTCAAATAAAAGCTTGGGGTGTATGTTGGCCAAGCTGAAATCCCTTGTAGTTAAGCAGGCCATCAATGTCTTAACTACTTCAGCTTAAAATGCCAGTATTGTTCTAGACTGAAGCTTTGTCTATTCTGAATTTGAGATGGTTTGACTTTTGGTCTCAATACCACCTGCTTTCCCTCCTCATGCTACCATCGCAGCCCTAAGTCCATAACATGCAAATGTAACTCATGGTAAACGTACATTGTTAGAAATTTCATATCTGTTTTAATGCCAAATTGTCTATTCTGCTTCTTTAGAGCACCCCATCAGAAATGGATCAGTGGTTTGCCTTAAAGAATAGCTTAAGATTAAAACATATGGCAGCTGAAAGAAAGTTCTTTTCTTTTCTTTTGTTTGGGATGGTGCATTAAAACAAATGTAGATCTTTTTTCTCATTACACAAATACATTTTTATCTGCATGTATTGCTTTGATTAGTAAATTTAAACACTAGCTTTAAAATTAGATGTAAAAGTGGTGTAAAGCTTTTCTTTGCAGTCTATTCTGTTTTGTCAGTGAAGATTTGTTTATTGTACAGGGGTGATAAATTTAATAAACCTGCCAAAATGAAACAACCTGACACAAACTGAACAGGCTTGTAGCTCTGTGAACCTAAATCTATACACGGTCAATATGGCATTGTTTATAAGCCAAGACTATTTAAACTGGTATCTTAAACAATAAATAATAATTGTGCATTGCCATTTTTCATACTAACAAATATGGCCTGAATTTTTGACCGTTTTTAATTCTACTGGAAAATACTTGGCTATTTAGCAAAGCTGGTTAAAGGTAGTCAAGCAGTAAGGAAGCAGTATGTTGAAGTAAGAGGTAAAATGATAATGATATGGTTGCCAATAAGAACATCTTTGACGACACTGTTTGATCTCTAGTTTAAAAACCTCAGTCCTTACAGCAGCACCTGCATGATTCTGTTTTCAATTTGAAATAAGAAAAGCAGTTCCAGAACTGCTGACAACCTTACTAGGGTTTGTCAGCATTTAATATTGCCCTGGGGTGCTGTTCAGTTAAGACCTTTTGCCTGCTATGGTGTTCACATCTGTCACTTATTCAAATGCAGGTAAATGAATATAGCCAAAGGCTGCTATCATTTCCTAGTAGGATCATTAAAATATTATGCTATGGTTTAAGCTATTTTTTAAACCAAGCTATGAATCAGCATATTAAGGTAAATATTCAAGGATCTAATGCATTTTGTTCAGTTCTTTCATGCTGAAACAGTATGGAGTTGCAGATGTTGCTGAAACTTTGTCAAAAGTTACATCCATAAGAGCTGCTTCAACAGTCTCTAACCAAGCAAGTTTTTAATGAAAATTGATGCTCATTGTTTTGCTTTGGGACACCTGGAGAAAAGGAAAAGAGAAAAAAACTCACATTTGGCTTGATTTTGGGAGAGTGCCGGGTGGATACAAGGCGTCTGTCCTTTTACTCAAAAAGTATCATTGAATAAATTTTAATTGTGGCTTCCTCTGGTGTTCCAGTATTGAAATGGTAGGGATAGTGCACTGACATCAAATCATTTAATTTCTGGTCTGTTCTTTGTGGAAACACTTCCTTCTGGGAGCAAAGTATTTCTTCCTCTCCCACGCTTGCTCAAATTATTGTAATAGGTACCCTGTTTTGTCCCATTTTACAAATTAAAATGTTTTGTTTTCAGTGATTTCACCTAGTGGTGTGACTTGCTGGGGGGGAAAAAAACCTGTACAAGATTTCATGTTGTCCAGGGGTCTATCTGGTACAAGAAGGCTGGGGTTCAGTATAGTGGACTTTTGGTCACGCATCTTGTTAACTCTTGCTGTCATTGACCACTTGTAATGTTCTGTGCTATTAATTGTTTTGAATTGATGTAATTTAAATTTTAAAGTTCAAATTCCTCATTGTCATTACCCAAAATTCATGTTTAGAGAGGCTGCAACTAATTTACACTCTGGATGGATTTTGAGTCTGCTGACTATTTGGTCATTTGAGGCTTAAGTCCCTTGGAAAACCAGATATAATTCTGCTTTGAGTTAAACTTTGCAAACTGAGGGTCATAAAATATAGTATAGGATTTCAGGTCAAGTCAGAAAGTATAGGTTTTTAAGTATGAAATAGTTATTTTCTCAAATTCCATATGAATTACCTTCTGGGATGATAACTGAAATACCTGGGGTATGTGGTTTAAGGTATAATTATTTTGAAAATAATGCATTACACTCTCTTGTACTACCATATTAGTCATATTGTTGAAGTTAAAGATCATTTGTATCTTTAAAAGTGCTTAAGTGTTAATTGTATTTAACTACATGAAGTAACAGATTTTTCAGTCTTGGAAAATAATTCCATGTGATGCCAGATCTTATTGTATGAAAGTCATCAAAAATAAACTGGCTTCCAATGTTACCTTTGCAGCTGTGAATGGTGGTGGACAATAAAATAACTAAACTGAAGTGCAGACTTAAAGGCATCCTCCATGATGGAGGCAAGCAAATCCATAACCAAAAACTTCCTTGGGTCCACCACCATGTATGCTAATCTTCAGCCAATTTGATTCATTTCACCTGATATCAAGAAACAGCAGAACACCAGATAAAGCAACAGCCAAGTTCTGACAATGCCACAGTCATATTACTGATGAACTGTGGTCCAGAATCGCCACACTAAATTTAGCAATTCCAGCAGGGCATTCAGCCAACAATATTGAAAATTGCTAATTCTGCTCCTATACCTAACAGTTTTATGACCTACTGTGGCCCTTCTGTATTTCTATGAACTACTGTAATTGAATAGCTCTCTGAAAACCATGGCATGACAGTGGGCTGAACGTTTCCTTCTGTAAAATTCTTATTCCAGGAAATTCTAATCAGTCATGTAATGTTGGTTGAGATGTAGCAGTCTTTCAATCCGTTTTCTCAATTCTAGACTATTCTATGCTCTTTGCATTGCAGTAGTGTTTATTAAATGAGTAAGAACCATTTTCCTGACAACACATTCTAGTTTTGGCTCACCATTTTTATATCTTCCAAGTAGTCTTTCAAATTTATGTGAAGTACTTTCAAAATCACGAAAGGTATAATGTTGACTTTTCAGTGTTCCTAAATGGTCATTACAGCACTGTATTTCAACACTTCAGTTATTAACTCAAAGATGAGTTCAAATGTTGAAATTTAGTGTGTTCACTCATCAGTTATGCTAATTTGACCATTCTTCTTTACAGTTTTTAAGATTTCATATTGCTTTTGCATCTTACACTTGACTTTTGTCAACCTTTTCCTCCAGCCTTAGTAAATGCAATGTGTATGTTTGTGTGCACACTCCACCTAGGGCACAGATACATGACCAATGTGTATTTTTCCATAGCTTAGTTCGGTGGTTTGATCATAATGGGTTTTCACCTGTCAGAAAAAGCTATGCAGCTGGTGCATTTGAAATAAGTAAAAGACCTGTATGTGTGTAATCATGTGAAGCAAAGTTGATCTTAAAATTCTTACAAATTTTTTTGTAAACAGGAAATTTTTCAAAGTGTTGAAAATATATTCATGACTTTTGTGAATAATTCTTTCAAGATACCTGAGTGTTGCCTATTCCTAAATTCTATTGGACTGCATTGCTTGTTAGTCCATTGTAGTTGGGCATTTAATAGTCAACCATATTGTTGTAGTTCTGGAGACGTGTCAAATCAGCTAAGGATGGCAGATTTCTTGCTCTAAAGAACACTAATGAACCAAATGAGTTTTGACAAAATAGTTTTATGATCACTATAACTGAAACCAGCTCTCATTTCTAGATTTTATAGATTGGCATCCCACCAACTGTCATCTCTCTCAAACTAAGATCAGATGTTGTACAACAATTTTGCACAATTAACAATGAGAGAATGACGAATAACCGAAGGTTTTTTGGTAACATTGGGGGATAAATATTAGTCAAGGTACCTGGGATAATTCCTTTTTTATTCAGAATAGGTGCCACAGGTTCTTCTAGGCTCACCAAAGAGAAGTCTCGGCCTAGGTTTAACATCTGATCTGAAAGACTGCTCTTACGATAGTGCAGCACCTCGACAAAGTGATGGTCTTGACTTCTGAGCTGATGTCCTGGAGTGGGATGTGAACCCAGAATCTTTTTGCCTCAGAAGAAAGAGTGCTATCAACCACCCACTGCTGCTTGTCTTTGAGTGGTGATAGGCTCTATTCTTAAACCATTTCAAGCCTTTGTGGTGGTCGTGCTCCCTTCCACACTTAGCATGGGATTTGAAAAATATTGATATTTCATGAAGATTTTGCAATGTCCATATCCCAAGACAGGGTAGACTGGTTACTTTTTTTTTCTTGTTGCTGTTGAAGGGATAAGAGTTGATGTCAAAGCAACCTGGCAAGTATCTAAAGTGCATCCTTTAAACTGTACCTGAATATTTTGTTTAGTCATAGGTGTGCCACTAAAGTTAACTACTAACCACTATCCAAGTTGTGTTGTTACAGCTGCACCCATCCAGGTGAGTGGTCAGTACTATACTCCAGACTTACTGTTGTAGGTTAATGGGATCATGAGGGAAGCTACTTATCACAAAATACTGAGCCTCTGCCTTGCTCTTGTTACGGAGTCTTGTTCAGTTTTTGACTTTACAATTCTTGTTGGAGTTGGGAATGGAGCAGACAGTGAAATTCATCAACTCTTGACTTAATGATGGTTAAAGCAGTTAAGATGACTGGACAATCAATGCTTCCTTCAGGAATTCCATCAGAAATGACTAACCTCCACCAACCACAACCATCACCATTTGTAACAAGTATCACTGATTATGTAGAGAAATCCCATAGTCAGGGTGCACAGTGAGGCTCCACACAAACTGAAGTTTGCTATATAATCTGCATTTTCTAACTTGGTTTCTGGAGGATTATTGGTTAGAACATCAGAACTTTTCAGGTCAGTTTATTTCATGTCATCCAAAGGATGTTGTTACCAATAATGCATTCCACTGCTGAAGTGATGGCCTAAATTATGTGCTAAAAGGACCAAAAGTAAAACTGTGGAATTAGGTGCAAAGTATTTCTAAATGAATAGAGGCTTTCTCCATTTAAATAAGTTTGTTTTTCTACTACTGCTAAAGTGGACAAATGCATATTTTCTCACCTACTTCATCAACCAAGTCCTTTTTATAGACTATCTTTTCACAGCTTATTCTCCTCACCTTTCTCATCACCAACTTTGGCTAACACATTTGGTCCCTTCATCCAAGTCATTGATTATCAATTGTAAGTAGTTGCAACCCTAAATCTGACACCTATGGCACTCCCCTAGTTACAGCTTGCAGGCCTAAAAAATTGTCCTTTCTCTCTCTTCAACATTAACCAATACTCCATTCATGCAGAAATGTTAGCACCTACCCCCTAAGCTGTTAATTTGCTTAGTAACCTTCAATATGGCATCATACAAAGTGTCTTCTGAAAATCCAAGTATGCCACATTCACGAGTTTCCCATTATCCCCACTTTGTTATATCTTCAAAGTACTCAAATTAGGTTTGACAAACTTTCACAATCATTTTTAACTCTGCTTGCTTTTCTAAATATCTTGTTACTAGTTCCTTTAATAGGATCCCAAATGACAGATACAAAGCAAATGAGTCTGTAGTTTTCTGCTTTGTTTCCTTCCTTACATAAATGTGGCGTTTTTATTTAATATGCTGAGATCTTTCAAACTCGGGCATTTTGTAAGATTACAA